GGGGGGCTCTGTTGGGGTCTGTGGTCTCACCCCGTCTGCCCCCCAGAACACGCTGAGCGAGGAAATTGCCGACATGAAGAAGCTGCAGGACGAGCTGCTCTTGAACAAGGTACGGGGATGGGGGGAGCTCGGGGCGGGGGCTGGGCGCAGCTGGCTGTGCTGGGGGGGGCAGGGGGATGCTTGCCATGTGGGCAGAGTGGGGATCCCAGGCTGGGGGGCTCTGCTGCACTGACCCCCCCACACACACATCCCCCCAGGATCAGCTGCTGGCAGAGATGGAACGGATGCAGATGGAAATCGACCAGTTGCGGGGCCGACCCGTCTCCTCCTACTCCAGGTACTGGGTTGATACCGTGCCCGGCTCCTGGTCCCTGGCAGACCCGGGCGGGGGGTTACTGGCAGAGTTAAAGTGGAGGAGGGGGCACCTGAGGGGGGTGGGAGGGAAGGGAGGGGTTCTGGGGGGGAGTGTCTCCTCAGGGGGCGTTGGTTTCCTGGGTGGGGGAGGGCAGGGTGGACAAAAAATGGATGATTTAGAAAAGAAACCAAATCCAGGCTTATCAATGCCAATTGGAACCATTGAGACGAGCGAAAGCCGCAGAGCGGGAAGTTTGCGGCCGAGTTTGGCCGGAAGCCAGTGCGGAGTTTGGAGAGGGGTTAAAGCCGCCCGGGGGAGAAAATTCCCCTCGGTTCAGTTTATTTGGCTAGGTCCCTTCAGTGCCCAGCTCAGCCTAAGTCAGGAAACCGATGGGGGTTTGGAAAAGCAGAAGACCTGGTTTTCCTCTTCTGATCTCTGCCCAAAAACCCGGCGAGGGAATGAGATCTGCTCGCTCCAAACGCGGGACGTTGAATTCACGGGTCACGGCTGACTAATTAATAAGTGTTCAGTTCAGCTGGTTTCACAAGCAAAACAGGTCTCAGCAAACTTTATTATTAATGTGTCCGGCGCGGTTTTATTTTGCTAATTTAAAAAAAAAAAAGAAAATGCTGGTTTGGTGCATTTTAAATTGAAATTTACTTTCAAATCTAGCTTGTCACTAGCTACAGCTCAGGCCGTTTTGTTTAAAGATTTTCTGGGAATTGATTTGTGTTTGCTACAAAAATTAAAAATACGGGTGCAGTTTTCTGGGTAAATATCAGGGATATTAGGGGGGAGCGAAGGCAGCCCAAAGAGATACTCCTGGGGGAATTCTGCGCCAAAAAGTTAAAAATTCTGCGCACAATAGTTTAAAATTCTGCACATTTTATTTGTCAGAATAACACAATAGAATCACACCCGTTTCAATTATTTTTGGTCGTTTATTTCAAAATCCCCGTCAGCAAGTATGTCTGTAACAATACAGACGACAAAAAAGATTCAGAAAATGTTTTTTGACAAATAGATTTCTTACTAGGCGTATTAATTCAAAACTCTGAGCAATAATTCATTGAAACTACAATACAGAACCGTATTTCCCGAGAAGCAGTGAAAGGCTGGGGGGAGTCGGGTAACGGAGGAGCTGAGGGAGAGGGAAGTAAATGGCTGGGAAGGGGCCTGGGTGTGAACAGTATAGAACAGGTTATTTTGGGGGGACAGGGAGGGTTTGTTCGGGAGCTTCCCCCAAGCAGACCCTGGCTGGCCCCTAGCCTCTCCCATTCAGTCAGACACGTGTCCCTCCACATCCACTGCCCCCGTCCCCATGTGGCCCTGCGTCTCCCTCCCCTCTGTGGCCCTGCGCCTCCACTCCCATTCAGCCCCTGCCTCAGTCTGTCCTCTCCTCTCCCACTAGCCCTTATGGGCTCCGTCTGACCCCCCGCCAGCAGCCCCACGTTGTCTGTCTCCTAACCTGGCCCGACAGGCACTGCGAAGAAGGCTCGGCCGGCTCTTTCTCTTCCCTAGCTGGCCGGGAGCTGCGGCTTTGTTCTATCACCACAGCGCCCTCTGGTGGCGAAAAGGCAGAACTGCAGCCACTTTTCAGCCGAAGCTTTTTTTTGCGCAAAAAAATTAAAACTATGCGCAATTCATTCATTCTGCACACGTGCGGCGGCGCAGAATTCCCCCAGGAGTAAAGAGAAAAGCGAAAGCCGTGAAAAGCAGTTTTACGCTGTACGTTAGCTGTACGTGCGCATCGACCCATCTGTGTCTTCCGCTCCAGCGCCGTACGCTAACAGAGCATCTCGTGGTTACCGACGTCACTGTTCACATGACGGCAGCTACCAAACAGAACGGGCTTTTCCTAACAGAATCAACATTGTCGCACGCGCTCGAGCAGTCGAAAATTCAGGGGAAAATCCGTTAAAATCTCCCTTGAATAATAGATCTTGGGGAAAACCCTGGGATTTTTCCTTAACCCCTGAAGAGACAGAAGGGGAGGGCGGGCGGCCAACATGTTGCTTGGGCTGGAGGATCTTTCCCCGACGTGCGATGGGGACGGCTGGCGTCCAAACCGGTTTTAATTGTCTGCCGTTAATTGTCTGACTTATCCGCCCATCTTTTCCCATCGCCGTGAAAACTGGAATGGATCCAAATTGGGAAAAAAAAGAACCCTGATGCTACCCCTCGCAGCAAACTCCTCCCCCGTCTGCTCCCCAGCCCCCGCTGTGTCCCCTCCCCCAACCCCCAGCTGGGCGGTTCACGCAGCAGGTGGGGAAACTGAGGCAGGCGCCAGTGTCCCGAACACAGTACTGTTCCCACAGGTCCCTGCCGGGCAGCGCCCTGGAGCTGCGCTACTCCCAGGGCCCCGCCTTGCCCGCAGACCCCTACGCCGGCGCCCCCCGCAGGCACAAGAAGGGGCGCTGGGCCGTCAAGGATGAAGCCACTAAGGTGATGGGGCGGGGTGGGGCGGGGGACTGGCTCGGGGGGCAGGTTTCTGGCTGCTACTAACTGTGTCCTTTATCTCCCCTGCCCCGGATCTGCCCCCACCCCTGGTGAGTACTCCGCCATCTCTTGCTATCGGGATGGGGGGCAGGGCTGGAGGGGTGCTAGGGGCAGGGCTGAGATCACCCCCACCCTGGTGGCCCCCAGGAATGGGGGAGCCCTGTGATACAGAGGGGCGGGGCAGTGGTGGGGTGGGGCATGTGCTGTGGGGGGGCGGGGCGGTTGTAGGGGGGGGCTGTTCTATGGGGGAAAGTTTGGGGGTCTGCCCCATCTCACTCTCCCCTCCCCCCTCCCGCAGGCCCCCCAGGAGTGGGAGCGGGCGCAGCAAGCAGGGGGGCTGGCCCAGCCCTTCGAGGGGGGGCTGGACGGGTCGGACGAGGAGGAGCGCGACCCCCTCTTCGGCTCGGCCGACCTGCTCTCACCCAGCGGGCAGACGGACGTGCAGACGCTGGCCATCATGTTACAGGAGCAGCTGGAGGCCATCAACAAGGAGATCAAGTGAGACCCCCCTTGGGACCCCCCGAAGCCCCTGGGACCCCCCTGAACTCCCCCCTGTGACCCCCTGAACCTGCAGCCCCTGGGACTCACCACCTCAGGGACCCCCTCTGAACCCCCTGGGATCCCCCTACGGCCCCAGGGTCCCCCACTGCACCCCTTGGGGACCCCCTCACATCACCCCTGGGGACCCCCTCAGCAGCTTCTCCATCCCCCATAACCACCCCACAGCTGAGGGATCCCCTGGGGCCCCTGCGGCTGTGCCCCCCCGTCATGGCTGTACCCCCCCAGGCTGATCCAGGAGGAGAAGGAGTGCACGGAGCTGCGGGCCGAGGAGATTGAGAGCCGGGTCAGCGGTTCAGCGCTGGACGGGTCCCTGGGCCGGTACCGGGCCGGCGCCTCCATCCCCCCGTCCGTCACCAGCTCCACCCTGGCCAGCCCCTCGCCCCCCAGCAGCGGGCACTCCACCCCCCGCCTGGCGCCCCACAGCCCCGCCCGCGAGGGAGACAGGATGGTGAGTATCGGTTC